ATTTCGTGGATACCATAACGAAATCCGCTGAAGCATATTTGTACCGTACTCGTATTTATTTTGCAGACATAATTTATGAATCCTCTGTGCTTTTGTGGGCCGACAATGAGGCCCCCCCATTTTCGGGCATAATTTATTGGCCCGAAATCAGAGTCTGATTATGATACTTTCATCTCATCTAAAAATGGAAATTTTGAGTGATTCATGACACACTCTCTCCCCCCCTCCCCACCAACCCACGCAATTAGCTAAAATTTGGCTTATCCCTGGCTACTCCGGGTTTTTCGACTATTTAAATGTTGAGAATTCTTCGGGATTTTAAGGCTATAAGAGGGGGAGCGAAAACGAGGCATGCCATTCGGGCATTGTCCCGAACAAAGACACAAAGTTGAACACTTAGACACGAATCGAAATAAAATAAACAAAATTAGAATGCTTCGCGCACTCTCCACACTCCACACTCCAGCCACCACTCTCCACACTCGAGTCCCCATTCTGACAGCCATTTGCCATTCCCTTTGGCAGATAGAAAGCCAATTTTATGACTCAACTTAAATAGGCACTTTACTTTTGGTCTTAATGCCTTTTTACGAGAGAGCCGCGCCGAGCCGAGCCTCGCACTCTGCTCTGCTGTGCTCTGTTAGTGCCTTTGTGCGGCGCAGTTGACGTCGCGAGGTCCTGGATTCACGACATTAATGATTGCCTCGCCCTGGACCAGGGCTTTATTGGAAAATAAATGGGGAATAGTCGTACTATGTGGCAGCGCACTTATCTGATTTTACACTTCCGCCTCACTTTCATACGTACATATGCCAGCCGGAACCATCAAAATTATGACAGTCGCGTCGCAAAGTGAACCGTTTGCCCCAAACAACCAACTTTGCGTGAGTGCCCATTAACAACAAGTTCCCAAGTAGCAAGCAGACCCACAAGAATGCAGACCCACAAAGCTGCAAAGGCAGAGGCCATGCGTGGAGCCATTTTGCGGAATTTCAATTAAATGGCAACAGAGTGGAAAAGTTTCCCTGGACCTCCAGAGGTCCGACGAAGAGGAGGCAACGACTGGAGCCTCCAGTTGACGCATTTACACACAAATTACCGCCAAGTGTCAAATGCAAACATTTTGAAAACAGACAACAAACAATATTTGCCATAAAAACAGAAAGCGTCCAACGGAAAAGTTTCGTAATGAACCAAGGGCCAAAGTTTCCCGGAGAGAGTCGTCGGCGTCGTCTTTATCCTCTCTTTTGGGCAAGGCAATCGCTTTAACTTAACTTTAAAATAACTTTCAGCTAAATTTAAAGATGGAATTGCAGCCTCTTTAAATATCTAATTTCGCTTTTTGTCTTGTACAATGTACATGGTATATTTAATTACAACTTTTCCACCAAAATGATGCACAGGGCATTGTGCTTCCCCCAACCCATTCGATGGTTCTCAAAAGGTTGACCATACGAATTTGTGTCCATTCGTGCCGACAATCGACCCGAACCTCTGCGACCGCAAATTTAGTTGCAGCATCGGTATAAATTATGCAGCGGGGGCGTGGTGGCCGCCGCCAGCGGAAGCGAGCTCGACATATATTTGTATTTTAATTAGAGAAATGCGCATCGTTACATAAAATATGAAATCAAATGAAATTAATGAGTCCAACAGGATGTCGTTCGCTAGTATAATTTGATAATGTCATTTCCAAATGCGCTTTCCCCCGCACACTTACATCAATATATTTAATTGATGACTGACCAAACATGGAAACAAATGCATTAGTTAGATGGATATTTTGTCGCTGTTTCTCCGTATAGATACGAGTAGTACTGCTAATTAGCCTCGGACATAGATATAGACTATGGATTTAAATATAGTTACAATAAGAATTAATCTTGTGGAGAATATTGTTTTTAAGCCCATTTCTCCCCGCCAAAGATAAGACAAATACTAGACCGATATATCATCTTTGTTAAAACTTCGTCATAAATAGATGAGAACCACTGCCATTCCAGTGGGTTCAGAGGGTTCATCTGAAATGATAGAGCTCATCATGCAGCTTTTCTGAAATGGGGACTTGCTCATTTGGCCAGCTGCTGGCTCAGCTGGTTCATCCCTTGACTCCCTGCCACAACATGCATATCCTTTTGACGGAATTCCACATCCTTGGATGTGTGTATGTGTAAGTAAACTTAATTAACGTCAAGCCACGAGATGTCAGATGCAGCATAAATACGAATCCTCGTATTCCACAGAGCAATGATGACACAACACAAGCACATAAGGAATCATTGATATAAGCTGTGTGGGCGGGGCTGGAGCGGGTTCCTGTACGGAATCACGCAGCATGCAGCCAACTTTTGATTAAAATGTCGTCGCACACAGAGCGAAGGGGTGGAATAATGTTGTTGGTATGTGGAATGTGGCATGTGGGGATTTAGCGAGAAAGAGAATCATGAAAGTTTAGCCAACGCACAATTCGCGAATGTTCTGCCAAACGAAAAGTTGAAAATCACCCGAAACAAAAAATGCACGAGTACAAGTATTGGTGGTGCTGCTGCTGCAACATGTTTGTGGCTTGCGTTTGGTTTTCGTTCGCGGTCTCGGTCTCGGTTTGGAATCTCTTTGGTGTTGACAATGCATATAACAGCAGTTGCACAATGCAGAGTAGAGCGATTCCAAATCCAATCCCAGCCACCATCACCGCTGCCGGAAACAAGAAAAATGCGTAACAGGAAGTGGAACAGGAACAGAGCAATGCCATTGCAGATGCAGTTGCAGATGGGGCGTAGAGGTAAAGATGCGGACATAGATCCGGTGAGAGATTCCACAATGTTCCGCGAAAAAATTCAATTACAAAGTCGCACAAACCATCGGAAGAATGCAAATTTGCAGTTGCTCGAACAGGAGAGAGAGAGTGAGGTAAAGCAGTGCTGGAGGAGCAACAGCAACTACGAGCAGTTCCAAAAGCTGTTTTGTGGTCTACCAGCGACCATTACGACTACGTTTACGTATGAACGTAAGAAGCAAGAAGCACAGAGCAAGACCAGAAGGGAGGCTGCATGTCGCCTGGCAGTCAGTCACGTGCGAACGTGACGAAAATGCCACGATTCAGTTTTGGCCAAGTTCTGCGTGCCAATGAGGAGCTGCAGCAGTACATTGTACATTGGGCGTACAATCCTGAACCTAGATACAAGTTTCTGAATACAATTTGAAGAATTCCAAGTTAGATTGAATTTCCATGTTCAATGTGGACACATTCTATTTGAAACTTGTAGACTGTAGGATCTATCACCCTCCATCTTTAAATGAGAGTCTTAATCTAATAATATGAAAACATTCCGAGCTACCATTAACACAGGATTCCCAGCAATCTGTTCAAACTATAACATGGATTTCATATGATTTTTTCCGCACTGCGAATTTTTGACATGTTTTTTTATCCTAAGCTGATGTTGGTTATTTGTTTGTTTTGTGTGTGCAGACAATTTTTGGAAACTCTTTGCTATTTATAGAGCTCGGGTGATGCAAAATATGAAACTTTGCCACAGCAATCGTAGTCATTGTGTCAGGGCTGCTGACCCCCGCAGCTCTAGATCTCTACGGCTGCAGTGGCAAATTGCTGTGGCAAGACAGTTGATAGCCACCTGTCAATTGGTCGGGCTGAACGATTGTGAGAGTCAACAGCAACAGAAGCAACAACAACAAGGGCAAGGGCCATGTGTCAAGCGAAAGATGTTGCATTGATTGACCCGATTGTTCTGCAATGCCACATTCCGGCTAACAGGCCAAATTGTTTTCCGATCCCCTTGGGACATGCACTTGCCAATGGAGATTGAGAGCCTTACAAATCGGTCGAGAACTTCGTTAAAGGAATGTGGAGAATCCTGGCAAAGCACTTACACAAAAGTCCTGGTGCTGAAATGCCATACTAATTAATTTTACATTATTATAAGGCAGTCCGGGCAAAACAATTTCCCATGCCACTAGATGAAAACTAAACATTTTGCTCTCCCTCTGTGGCCAGGGAATCCACATCAGTGCGAAATTCCAATGAGAACCAAAATGCATTGCCGTTATTCAATTTGCAGGTTGGAAAATTCAAGTTAATTGACATTTCCCAGCCCCCAGTTCGTGTTTGGCCAAATCAATTATCGTTAATTGTGAAATATTATTTTGTTGGTTCAACAAAAACACACATCAAAAACGCCAAACCAAAGCCAGAAACGTTGATTTGCACCATAGTTCTGTTGCTCTGTGGCTTCCCTGTGTTGGTGTGTGTGTGTGTGTGGTTTCTAAGAACCATAACCATAACGGAATGGCGTCGGTATGATTGTCGTTGCAGTGAGGTACATTACCCCATTTGCAATGGCAGGCAAACATTTAACATTCAGAAATTATTGAAATTTTGTAGGTGTTAATTAACTCCAAGAACATCGTTTATTATCTTTCCTCTCGTTAAAAATGTTCTCCTCATTTATCTACACCGTTTTCGATCAACATTTCGCATTTGTTGCTCTCATATTTTATATTTGCACTCAGCTACTGCACATTTGGGTGCACTTAAAGATTTAGCAGTGGTTAAACAGTATTTTTCTATTGGAAAATATGTATTTGGATGATACAAGAAGGAAAGCGTACGTGTATTTGCGATGACCGAATCCGTATCTCTGCGCATCCATCCCTTCCATACTTCCTGTTCAAACATCTGAGGCAAATCGGCTGGGACAAGCCCTCTAAACAGGATTTAGTTTGCTCACAATTTTCCTTTGGTTTTCGCTTAAAATATTTGCCAGAAATTAAGTTAAACGGCGAGCTTTAATTAGCCCTGCCTTTTCAAAGAAAATGGTTTGTATAAATATTGCGTAAACGCAGCTCTGTTTGTTAATCCAAATTAATTGACTTCATGCTGTTTCTGTTATTATTTTTCCTCTCCGCCGCGGGCGTCCACCAGCGACGAATATATTAACACATTTTAAAATGTCACTCTCTCTCTTCCGACTCCTTCACAGACCGCACAGCAGCAGCTACCGCAATGGATGGGACAGGAACCGAGGCAGAAGCCGCTTCCACAATGGCGCCGCAGAGCACAGCGGCGGCAGCCAGAAGTGGACATAGCATAAAGCCATCACAAAGGCATATAAATCAAAATTTAATTATGTCACCGGCCTCGGCCGCAGCCCTTACGGCCCCCCAGCCACCGTACTCGGGGTCAGACTATGAGGGGGAGGCAGATCCCGAGCCTGTGCCCGTGCCGGAGGCCTACGCCCAGGGACCGGGAGCCAGTGGGAGCAGTATAACAAGTTTCGATTCGACCAACTTGATCGATGACAAGCGCCAGAGCCAGGACCCACACGCGAATCCCGAGCAGCAGCAGCACCTACAGCCGCACCCACAGCAGCACTCACGCATACAGGCCAAAGACACGGCCGGTCCATATCCAATACCAATGGCCGGGCACAGATCGGAGCCGGTGGAGAACCATCTGGAGGCAGCGCACGGAATCGATGGTGTGGAAAGTGTGTTCGGTACGCCAATGTACTTCGGCACCGAGAACTCGACGGTGGTGACGACGCAGATTGGCGCCACCGCCCACGTGCCCTGCACCGTGCACCACATTGGGGAGGGCGTGGTGAGTAAACGCTACCTTTCCGCCTTCTGATGTTCTTGACGCTCGTATTGTTTTAATATTTTATCAAAAACGAATCCATCACTGCTGTGGCCTTGTTTGACTTTGTCTTTGCTGCTATGACAATGACGATGGCGCTGATGATGATGATACTTTTATTCCAGTTTATTTAGCGGCTCCTTTCGGCGCGGAAGCATTTGACTTTTCTTTGTTAATTGAAATGGAAACGCAATAAATGTGAATTGATGGGAGATGAATGAGTCACCAGATGAGCTGATGGGGACTCGCTGCATGTACTTGGCCGATTACTTTAGCTGAGATGTCGTGTTCCTCTCAGCTTCCGGCGAAACTAATTTGGCACTAAACACAGAGATTTCATTGGACAGTCGGGTCGGCTCGGGGCAACATGACTTGGTGGTTCATTAGGCAGGCGAAACACACACGCAGCAGCAGCATACAACAAATTACACCTTTTGGGAGGTCTCATCCTCCTCCTCCTGGGAATGTGTGTGTGTGTGTGGGAGTATGTCCAGGAGGAGTAGGATGAGGAGGCATTCATATGGCAAGGCCTCAAGTGGTATTAATTTTCCGCTTGTCTAGAGTTATTACTCATACGCCATGGTGTGCGTCACGTCTCGTGTATTTGTATAAGCCTACCCCTGACCCCTGACCCCTAATTCCGTCGCCGTCGCCGTCTCCATCTCCGTCTTAGGTGTTTGTGCCACTCCCATCAAGAGCTGGACACGATTATACTGTCCCCTCTTCCACATTCCTCACCCTTGTGCGTGCTCGGGTGTTTGAGTGTCTGAGTGTTTGGGGAATCTGCTGGATGTCTGGTTTAAATTGACGATTTCATAATTGGGCCTTCAAGTGTGCGGTGCGGAAGTTAATCAGCCCTTAAGCCCTTGTAGGCTGGCTCTACTGTACTGTGTGTGAGTGAGTATGTTGTTGGTTAGCCAGTTGGCACTTTGCACTTTGCTCGACTGCGTGCTCAAGTGTGGATGTTACAGCTTATGGCCGATACAATATGTGTATTTGTTTGCTCTATACGTAAGTTGGCAATTTGTATTCAGAAAATTATATTCCAGCTGGGCCTAGGGGTTAGCAAAATACGAAAATTATCATTGAACAGGGGCCTGCCCCATCAGTGCACTCTGTACGAGGGCTACACTGACTGCACTGGGGCAAATATGGCAAATGAAATCATTTTGTGCAGAGGTTATACATCTGTACTTACGAGTACATATGTATGTTTACTTTTACTTTGAGAGTGACATTCGCAGTGCTCTCTCAATCAGGCTCAGACTCCATTGATTCCAAAAGTATACAGCTATGTTTGTTACTCGGGATGCTCTGTGCATGCAATGCATTTTCATTTCATTACTCTCTCCATGCGAGACATTTAAATCTCATCCTTCTGCTCCAACTGGCTTAAACCGCCATGGTACACCCCATGTGCAGCCCATTTCAATGGTATTATGGGAATGCAGTGCAAGTGCAGGGCGGGTTCAGTGGACAGGAAATACACCTCCAGCATTGGCATGGGGTATAATTTCCATATTTCCATTTTTGCAACTCTACGAACCCCCTCTCTGCCACTGCAGTGCGGTAGAACTTGGAATCGAAATGCCCTCCCTGCCTTTGTCGATTCGAGTATCTGTCTGCAAAAGGGTTTGCTTTATGAATTGTTAGCGAAAATGAAAGCATGGGAGAATCTCAGGCCCCTTTTTTTTTTGCTCAAAGCATACACACTAAACATTTCCGTGAGCCTCTGATTTGGCGTCGCCCTCCTCCTGGCGTCGTAAATTTCTGTGTGGCGACAATAAAATGCAGGAAACATTAAATAAATGAATTGCTTCCTCGAGCGCGCCATTGTTTCGGCATTTTGCTGCAATGTTCATTACAGTTGCGCCATCATTTTACAGTGGTTGCCTTTTATTAGGGTAAAAGGTAGTAATATCTGGCACAGGGGTAAACTTCCTTTCGAGGGATAGTATCCTTGATGGTAATTTATGAATTATTATTTGTTCAATTGGAAGACAAATCTCCTTGAGAAAATATGGAAATTTACAGGCAAATTTAAAAGCCATAAATCAAAACTCAAAAACGCTACCTAAACACTGGCAACACACAAAACCACTAACACACTCACACTCAACGCACACACAAGAAATGGAACGAGAAACTGACAGATAGAGAGAGAAAGAGAGTCAGAAAGCGTTTCAAATTAAGAATTACGACACTCGTATGTGGCAGCGGGGCGGACATTAAAATATGTCATTAGGGTATTATCCCAGAGTATCAGCTTAAACGGCGTTTAAAATAAACTAAGCAAATACGTGTGTCCTTCGTTCTGTCCCTGACAGCCATCACCCTGAGGGAAGGACTGCCTCCACTTACTCCTGTTGCACTGGGCTCTTCTCATATAAATTGAACTAAATCAGCAGCACACTGCTGCCACACAGTGAGAGCAGAAATATACTATGGTACAGTGAGAGCTCTCTATGCAGGAGATGGCCATACCATTTGTCGTTGGTGTATTTTTTTTGATTAACTATTAGTTTGTTGCCATAGAAGCAGGTAATCTCTTCTTTGAATTATTTTATATAATAATTACATTTAAATATTATTTCTTGGAATTGCGGAATGATTTGTGTTATGCAGATGCTCTCCCTCAATCATCCCCTTGTCTGATAGCGCACTGTACCTCACATTTTCATCATATATGTATGTGCCTCATATGAGTATACACATTGCTCGGCTATACGTACGAATTGCAGTCATACAGTGCTTCTGGGCCACCCACTCTGCTCTTGTGACTGCTTCTCCCAGTTGCTATCCGCTTCCTGGGCTGACTCTGATTCCCATGAAGGCCCTGTTGCTCTGCTCCCTGTGCTCTTCGTGTGGCTCCGTGCATCCGTGTGTCTGTACGACTTGAGCACTTAATTACTTTTTAGATAAATTGTCGTTTTTAATGTCTGGACTCGCCTCTCGCTCGTTCTGGGACATTTTCATTGAGAAAAGTAGCAGTAATTAAATGTGCTCACAGCACGCCGACAAAGGAAAATGCCAAAAGCTTAAATGCTGAGAAACTTGCACAAATTTCCACCTCTCGCTCACTCTTACTCGCAGTCTACTAGCGAGTGTCTACACAGATAGAAGGTAATTTATTTATAATTTTCTAGAAAATGTTCTCCAATGCAGATTAGAAAATAGAATAGAAATTATATAAGGAAAAAGCGAGAGAGAGAGAGAGAGAGAGAGAGAGAGAGAGAGGGAGGCCAAGCTAAGCATTGCCAGACGTTTCCTATTTGGAAGTTTTTCTCCATTTTCCAGACAAAAAGAAACCGAAACTGGTGCTTTATGAAAATTAACGCTTTGGGGTAGCTCTTCTGGCTTCCCTGAGCAGCCAATGGCTCGGATCAGTCGTTTAGATAAAAAAGGTTAAGCAAATATTTAAACAGCAACAGCAGCTGGAGGTCGATACGATATGGCGACAGACACATGTATGTACATATATACTCGTACATATGTAGATATGCACATATAATTTGCAAAGTTAAAGATCAGATAAAGGGGGAAATGGGCCTGGCCTCCATTGGCTGTGTGAGCGGATTTAAGTTCCTGCTTGCACTCGAGTTCCAGTTGCCGTTCCCAGTCGCAAAGCAAGGACCTCAACAAACTCAGTCGTTGTCGTCCCCAAAACACTCATGCATCCGAAAAACAGTATTGTCGGTGTAGAGCTCTTTGTAGTCACAGTGCCTGCTTGAAGTGCGACTACAAGCAACATAAAAATTATAAAATATTTTACTGCCAGGCTGGGTAATGGCTGCAATGACCTTCGAGCTCTAAAATGTCCGTGTCTTTGTATCTTTATCTGTGTATAAGTATATACTGCTTGCTTAGCTGCTTCTTGCCAACCAGAATCAACAGGAAATAACATATGTATATGTACTACATACATACATGCATATTTGAATTCTTTGGTTCCTGTTAAAGAATTTGCGTTAATTTGGCTAAATCTGACGGTGTGATTTATGTTAGCTTTTTAAACTTATTTAACGCTTCAAAGTAACAGCTCAAAAATCAAATTTTAATACCGTAAATGTATTTGCTGACTGGACGACGACTTTCCTATGGCAAATATTTGTTCAATTTTAAAGTTGAACTTTATTGGATATTTTCCATGGTCGCCTCCGGTGCAGACAGAAATATATATTTACCAATTTGTCCGTTTCGAGTGACCAATTTAATTAGAAATATCATTCAGGGTGTGTGTGAGAGTTATCTGTGTGTACATGACAGCCACACGCAGTGACACAGATACAGACACAGACATTAGGCTAAGCTTGCTATAAGCCTAGAGAAGTGTGGCGGGGCAATACTTTTACGGTAGCCACTTAGGGGTGCTGTTACAAGAAGTTAATGTTGCACGAAAATTGCCATAAACCTTTTTGAAGGAATACAAATCATTATCACTTTGTTGCCGGCAGACTTAACCGTAATTAAAGCAGTTGAAGGAGGGACGCAAGCAGGACAATAGACAGGACAGGACAGAGCAGTTGGTTGAGCAGAGGAGGACAGGCAGGAGACGAAAACTGGACTTATTTGCCAGCTAATAAGACATTCCAGTCGACAGCTTGATGAAGGCTCCATAGTCAAAGGCAGCAGGACCGCCCACTCGGAGAGTCCTTTCGTGATGTAGCTCCAGCTGTTGTTGCTGCGGCTGTTGCTGCCTGCCTGTCACAATGTTTATTAAAACAAATGTCCCGAACAAAGGCGAATACCACTATTTGACCCAGATTTTTGTACTCCAGTGTCCGTGTCTTGAGTATGCAGAATGGCTTCATCATTTCTATAAACTTTTGTGAGTGAAAGACAATAGGGTTCGGGGTCTGACCCCAAACCTAAAACAATTAATGCTCAACCGCAGGAGGCCGCAGGGTTTGGGTGTGTGTGTGTGTGTGTGTTTGGTGGCATAAGTTCAATGCCGTGACAGTCCCAAAGAGCCTTAACCCATACACCCCGCCGCTGCCATGGTCATATAAATTCTTAATTATTTTAATTGCTATGCAATCATCAATTGTTTGGCAGCCAAAAAATGCTCGAATTGGGGCCCTGACTGCTGCCATTAAATGTGAAAATGACGCAGGCAAACAACCGCCTTTCACGCAGTTGACAGCCGCTGAATAGTGGGCTCTGGTAATTTTCATTTTCACTTATTTTCCATGCGATACGCATTGTTTGGCTGTTCATTTACTACCCTGTAGGCAGACCGACAGCATGTGAATAATAGGCTCATAGTTGGGTGAAAGGAAGGGAAAATATTGAATCCCTCTTACAGCATTTCAGTAGATAAAGCCACTTTAATGGAGAAAATACATTTAAATTTGAACAAAATTTAGCAGCAGGTAACGTTTTTTCTCACAGTGCATTGAAAAATATTCACACATTTGCCATGCATATGGAAATACCATAAGGAAATATTCTTTGATAAGTGCTAATCCTCAAATGATTAACTCAAGTTTCTACTCAGGATCGTTTATCTGTCAGACATCCAAAACTTCAGGCCAATTAGTCGCAAATTTATAACATTTTTCATTTATTTTTAACCATACCATATCCTTCGTATCCCACCACCAAATAGTGCTATTGGTATTTGTGCATTCGACTTTCAGTAATTGCACTTAAAATGCATTTCCGCTAGATTGAGCTCGCCTTTCGTCGGATTTGCCCTCAATTATGAATGAATGCTATGAATGAACGTTTTTTTGCAAGTGAACGGGATTGCGAATGGGTGTAAGTATTCCTCAATTCGATTGAAAAAATGATAGATTACCATCGAGATGATTGTGCGGAAGATTCCAGGGCAATTGTAGTGTCTTTCCAATTGTCACATGTCCATCAGACACGCCCCAGAATGAAGTCAATTTATGTGACAGGGAACCGTACAATACAGTTATCAGCTCAAATGCAAAAAGCCACCATTTATTCATACAGAAGTGGCCGGCAAATAGCGTGACACTAAATTGAGAGCATTTTTTTTTTGCTTTTTGGATAGCTACATACTTGCACTTCAATGGCAGCATAAAAGTTTGGCCAAAAAAAAAAACAAAACACACGCATACAATGGTTAATAAAAAAGGGAGAGATAGTGTATGGTATGTAGAGCAACGAATGGGAGATGCACTTGCATTTAACAAGTATACGAATGTGGAATGGAATAAAGATGCGAAAAATCATTTCTGAAAACGATGCTATAATCTGAAGGCTCCAATTTCCGTTCAATACTAATATATACAATATATGCTCGTATGTTTAAACTGATATATATGCATGTATGTATATATATTCTTCACCTTCATTGCCTTCATTGCAAACATCTCTTTCCGAGTCCACGCTCCCTTCGGAGAAAAGAGTGCAATATTTTTCTCTGTCTCTACCTCTCATTCTTTTCGTCCCCACACACACACACTCACAGAACTGATGCCTTTTGTGTGGGGGACGAAGTTGCTACCAAAATTGCGGCTACTGTTGCAGTTTCCAAATAGAATTTTATTAAAATCGCTTGTTAAAAAGTTGTGCACATTGAAAAAGTTGCTTTTACTTTTTTACAACAGTTCTACAGCTCCCCACCACAGCACCGCACCACAGCTCACCTCCTTCCCCTCCCCACCCTATGTCGTCCTGTGCACATTTTTGTTGGCCATTGGGATTGTGTCAGAACGGAAATTGGTTGGACAGCGGAACATAAAGCACACAGGAATGTGCGTCAATAACATGCTACAACATGCATCAGAACAAAAGCCAATCAAAAGTTGTACCTATGCCACGGACCGTAGCACGAGCGGTGCCGTAGAATGGAGTTGTGAAAAAATGTAAAGTAAATTCAAACTGTGGGGGGGTCCTAAATAGATTTAGCCAGCAGGCCATGCAATTACACCTCACACGACAGTCCCGGGTCCTGCCATCACACCACAGTAGACAGACATGCCTGTCTGTGGGGGCTGCTGTCAGGAATCGAGATTCTCCGATAAATGCATTGGTACGCCCTGGTGGCGAGCCATCGTCTTGCCGAATATGTGGCCTACCTGGGGGTTTCGGCTCTGGCTGTGGCACTGTGGCACTATGGCACAAAGGGGACAAGTAGTTAGCATAAATTTGCCATAAATTTGCTAACCAATGATTTGTGGTGTGTGTGTGCTGTTGCTTTCGGCCATAAATAACGCGTCACTTTTTATTTTACATAAAGCTCGAAAAGGTAAAATGTAAACAATTATCTGCGTGACGCAGTTGCAGCGCCACAGGACCAGTAGTCGCCGCAGCCGCCACAGCAGCCACAGGAGATGCATGTGTGTGTGTGGGCAGAGTGGCAGCTGAGATTTATGCGCCACACAAACACTCACACACTCGTATACGTATGCAGCCGCATAAAAAGTTCTGGCAAAAGGGAAGGAATTCGCAGGCTTTTGATTAATTGCCGCAACATTTTATTTCTGCTCTCCACATTTCAGGCTGGCGCTGATGGCTTCACTTGGCTCCCATCCACATATTCCCCTCGAATCTGCTTTTTTTTTTTTGACCCGCCTTCGTTTCTTCTGCTGGCTGGCTGCATGGTTGGTTTATTTGCCGACACGTACGAATTCCAGTCCCAGTCCGAGTGCCAGTCCTGTTTAAGTCCCAGTCTCCGTCCCACTCCATTTCACCGTCCTTTTTGCCATCATAAATATCATAAAATTCCTAAAAAAAAGCATAGATATAGATGTGTTTCTGCTTCTGGGTCGTCGTCGTCGTCGTCTGGCGACTAGAAGCTTTGGGGCCAAAAAGGAATTTATGCGCAATTTATGCCTCACACTCGCGATTTTTACTGTTACAGATTGTATTGAATAGATATATAGAAAAGTACAAGCATATATCTAAAGATTTCATAAGCATATGCGAGCAAAATCATGATAATAAATGACTGCCAGCTATTTTTGCCATTCAATTGCAAATTTCCCCCATCGCAGCCATTGCCCGCCCGTGTGAAATATGTTTCGAGACAAAAAACGGAGAGAATCTATACTTTACGCATACGTATATATTTTCTTAACTGGGAAGTATGATATTTAAGCAGTCAGCTGCTTGGGGAACTGGAACGGTACCCTCGACGGCTCCTCTCCATTTTCCGCTGCGCCACATTGCGTATACGTCGCATTAAACATTTAAGCACGACAAATGTAATTCGTTTTTATTGGAAAACGCTAACGCAGCTGATTTAACAATTTCCTCTTTCAGCTTCATATCAAGTTGCTCTGTTCGTTTCCTTCTTTTGTGGCAGCGTCTGCTTCAGCTTCATCTTTGAGTTTGGAGCTCACGTGTGTCAATATTTGGAAGAAAGTTGCTTTTTACTTCGTTACTTTTTGTGGGCCAATAAATAAAGGTTCTTATCAATTGAAAATTGATTGATACACGCGCTCAGGCCTCTCTCCTACGTGGCATCGTCTTGGGCATCAGCCAATAACCCCATATGGACAGCTAATAGATGTGTTTTTTTTTTTTTGGAGTTTTCATCATCAGCAGAAAAGTGGAAAAAACGTGGGGTAAAGTAGTAAAAAAAATAAAAAGTCGAAGAAATGATTAATGGTCATTTAAGATTGGCTAAAGTCACATTCACAGAGCAGGATGGAGCCAGACATGAGTGGGTAGAGGGTTTGTTGGGTTTCCTTTCGTGCAAACGCCCTCAACATTTATTTGTTTGTTTGTTTGTTTGTCTATTTACAGATAGGTAGCCAATTCGAACTTTGAACCTAGGATCAATCAATCTGTTATTATGTTGATTGTCGTCCTCTCTCTTTTTGTTGTCGTAGCTGTTGTAGCAATTCCTACACGTAATTGCTTTTTGATTTGCCCTTGCTGCTGGCTGCCCTTCCATCCATTTTGTATCTGCGCCATTGAAAATTGCATCATCATCAAGTTGTTGTCATCGTCATAGTCCCCGCCGCTTGATGGATTGGCAAATATTTTAGCAGGACACCCAAGAGTAGATCCCAGAGATCCAGGCATATGTTTAACATTCAAGAAAAAAAGCGTCCAACCCAAAGCGGAGTCCTTGAGAGTCTATTGTGTTTGGCTAATGGCATCACCCTATTTTCTAATCTCGTGCCATTCTCCTTCCTTCTATTTTTAGGTATCGTGGATACGCAAAAAGGATTATCATCTACTTACGGTTGGCTTAACAACGTACAGCAGCGATGAGCGCTTCAGTGCCACGCACTTGAAGCATTCCGAGGTGAGTTCCGAAGAGTAATTTGCATGGTTGATGGTAGGGCATGGAGACCGGAGACAGATGGAAACCTGATTGCATCGCCACGGATCGGAATAGGATTGTCGCCACCTGCATACCAAATCGGTCCAGTGCCCATGCCCGAATCCTTTCTGGTTTTCACATTTTGCAGCATTGTGAACTTTGGTTCTTGTCCTTGTCGGCCTCGAATCGGAGATACGTGACAAAAATTGTGGCAAGAATATTGCAAAAATATTCTTGCAATAGTTGGCCGTTCTCAACGTCCATACCAACGGCAGCAAATTGACTTCACTTCACTTCCATTGGCCAGACTTTTAATACTAACTTTTTCTGGTTTTGTCTGCTGTTTGTTCTCGCCTGCAGGATTGGACATTGCAAATCAAATTCGTGCAGCTACGTGATGCAGGCGTCTACGAGTGCCAGGTGTCCACTCATCCGCCCACATCGATATTCCTGCACCTGAGTGTCGTCGGTAAGTAGAGGCCTCTATTCGGCATTCGGCCACTAGTTTCGGGTTTACTTTGGGTTGTGTCCTCTACTATGGACTCAACAATTTCACGCTGTGCTGAATTTCTTTTGCTGTCGTTCTGCTGTCCAGAACGGAACAACAAATTCGGCTGGAAAATCTCAGCAATTTTAGTTTTTCCCACATTTTCGCATCGTTTTCGATGCGCTCAAGCTGAAATTAGAAATGCCCATATGCCAGCAACGGTGAAATAGGTTGGAGCGGGGATGGAGACGGTTGGGAGATTTTCGGGTCACTGTCGAAGGAGGGACGTTGGGAGGGGAAATCCGGGCCAAATGGCAACGACTCAGCAAGTTCTCAACTCGTCGCGCTGTCCTTGGCTAACTGACGCACATTATTCTGAATTTAACAAACAATTTACTCTGAATGTGCTGCGCCTAATGGCCATCTCTGCTTCTACTTCTGTTGGCCCGGGTCCTTTTCCCAAAAAACAAAGCCACTGACTCTGGCACACATGGAAACTGATGTGACAGCCCTCATTTGGCTGGAGCCAAATCTGGAGCTGGGAGGGGATGAAAGGCTGGAGCTGCAGCTGAAGCTGAAGCCCGCTCCCGGGGCTCGGAAAGATATTGATTGCAGTCGGAGAGACAAAGAATATGGCTCTGACTTGACTTGACCTTGGACTGTCAGAGTAAGACCAGCACTATATAAGAGTTGGCTTGGGTTTTGGAAAATACTTGGACTTGGATCAGGATGGGTTAAAAGATGTTTAGGCGTGGAAAAAAACCAGCCAAATGGGCAAAGCTATAGCTTATACTCCATTCCTTAACTATGAGTACATGAGTTGCCTTGCAACTCAATTTCATCGTCTGCTCTCTCGCCCTTCCATTCGGTTAGAAGCACGCGCCGAGATCTCTGGGCCCCCGATACGATATCTAACGCCGGGCTCCACGCTGCGGCTGCAGTGCCGCGTGGTGCAGAACACAGAGGCCTCCGAGTATATATTCTGGTATCACGATAACCGCATGATTAACTACGACATTGATCGGGGCATTAACGTGTCCACCGAGCCAGGTGAGTGGCATCCGGCATGCCCATTCTCTCCACACACATCCTGCAACGCTTATTCTTCCATTGCAGACTTTCAATCATCGGAGCTTACCATCCAGCGGACACGGCGCGAACATTCGGGCAACTTCACATGCGTGGCCAGCAACACGCAGCCGGCCAGTGTCCTGGTGCACATCTTCAAAGGTGAGTGACGGACCAAGCCCCATTCCAGGAACCCAGGAACCATTACCAAAACAGTAAATGCAATTAGTAGGTCGCTTTGTGGTAGCGTCACATGTATTTGCATTCCACTGTCTGCCTGAAGGAAATTTCAATTATCAGCGCAAATGAAATTAAAACTTTGTATAAACCAAAGAAATGGCATCTGTGCCTGTATCTGTGTGTGTTGCGATGTGGTAGCTGTTTCCTGCAGCTCATTTGCAGTCCATATATCACGCGACTGAAAACAGAGAAAACAATAAAAGTAATTTATGAAAATTACACGGCCGCAAGCATGTGGATTAAAAATGCCCGCACACGACACGACAACGGCAACGTCGACGGCGACGGAGACACAGCAGCCATTTGGCAGGCAAACTGCCATTAAAGCCAGGCCATAAACCTACACAGATACACACTCCCACACACAAGGATACGTAGGCACCATCGCAAACAAAGACCAACCACCCACATAGTTAGGACCCAGTCATAATTTATAAGTTTCTGGCGCGATGAAGCGACGTCGCTCATTAGCATTTTGTTAGTTAAGCCCGCGAGCGTGTGGGAGAGCACACAAACCCATACTCGTACACACATATGCAGTGCAGCGTATGTGGGTATAAGTATGCTCTGCTTCATGATTTTAATTAAATTTGTATACAAATTTCATTTTCCCATTCTCACTCTTCTGGTTCTGGTTCTGCTTTGCTTTCGTTGCTTTTCTTTCATTTCGTTTCTTTTCTGCTCTTCTTTTTCCGGACTCCATCCTGCCACAGGCGACAATCCGGCGGCCATGTATCACGGACATGTGGGCGGCTCCACGAAGACAATGCAATCTCAGCTGCATATGATTATGATAATCATTTCCACCGGCTATCGGATATTCCACACGAGTGTGTATATGAAGATCTCGTAAGAGGCATCGACATCCCCAAAGGAAGAGCAGCCCGGACAGGCAGATGCAAAGGCAAATGCAAATGCAAAGGCAATGGCAGCTGCCCAAAATAATGCATTTGCAACTAAGTGGAATCTTAGCCCTAATCTTACACTAGTTAATTCTTTCTCTCTCTCTCATACGATATCCATGGAGGCCAAGACCACATCCGAGCATACGTACTATTGTCCCAGAATCAAACCCTTAGCTATACAGAAACAAAATCAAGCTTAAGAACTCTATAACTCTCTATATACATACATACTCGTATATACATGATGCCAAGCCATCAATCAACCCCTTTCTATGTTCATGTGTGTGTGTGTGTATTTTCTGAATGTCAATGTGTTAGTGTAAGTTTAAGTGACAGACTCCACACTTATCAACAGAAGACAAGTCGCCCAAGAAGCGATCCCACGACGGAGGAGTGCTCCCATCCATAGCAGACAGACGAACAGAGATAGACAGAGATAGAGCGACAAAACTTGCAGCATGCAACATATATAAAAAATAAAACAGGAAAAACTTTGCAAAACTATCAACTCCATGCATATACATACATATTTGAGAGGGAAAGAGTGTTCATGAAAAAAATCCAGAGTTTTAGGCATTCGCTCTGGCAAACAGAAAAAGTTGTCAGATCATTTTTTCATACATATTTCATAAAAATGTATTATTATTTTTTTGAGTAAGCCCTTAAATTCTTCGCCTAAATGTCTGCAAAAATATCTTCGACTAGGGCGAACCTCTTAAGTCCAAGGCAAAACAATACTTTTTTTGAGTAGTGCAAAGGCACAATGAGCTTTTATCTAATATTCGTATATGTGTACTAATCTCTGAACCAGATACTCATAAACTGCTGATCAAGTGGTTGAAGTAGAGTATCTAGCAGACCATAGATGGAGTCACTTCCAGATCCAATGAGAAGAACTGACCGAACTGTAGTGAGGACCCCCACACAGTGTGCATTATCCTTCCGTTTGACGTAAGGCCCCTTTTTGGGTTAAGAACTCTGTTTCAGCCACTGCAGTCACAGGCAGCCTCAAGTTCCATCATTTGGTAGTAGATGATTTATTGGGGGAAATGTACAGAGAACCAGAGAACCACTCAACTGATTAGAACGGATTTTACTTGCGGAATTTGATTTAACTCGGAGAAGGAAGGCTAAGCGAGAAGAGTACAGAGTTAAGCTGTAAATAAATTATTTGGTAAAAGTTATGCAAAATTAGAAAACTGTTACCATTAAGTGTGTGTGTGCATGCAACATTAAAAAAAAGATAGGGAAACGAATGAGAGTAGATGGGCGACGGAATATGTTGGACAAAAGTTGTTAATCAAAAGAGAAATAACCAAAAATGAGAACGAGAAAACATGAATCGCGTAATCAAAATAAACTACAAGTAATTGTCTAAATTAACGCAGATATTCACTAAAGTAACTTTTAATTAGTGGACAAAACTTTTAACAGTCTTAGAGATGTGCAATACGAGTACGATGACGAGTACTATGAAGAGTACGACCTAACTAAAGAGCGAACGGAGTTCGATCAAAATCGAATCCAATGCGCGGTTGCTTCTGCAGCTGCAGCTGCGGAAACTCCATTGAATATGTGGATGTGTAAATAGTTGAGCAGCTGCAGAAATGAGAAATTCTAGCCACTAAGTCTGTGTAGTTAAATGTAACGTAAATTACCTAAAAAACAAAAAATAAATTAAAAAACACTAAAACCAAAAGAAACGAACAAATAAAACATAATACAATTATGCAAACTATACAAATTAAATAGCGTCTTACTGAATATGGCCCAGAGGCAGTGGCATTGGCAGCCACGGTCGAGCAGCAGCATTATTTGTGGGGCCACTGGAATCAGCTCTTTTCATCTTCTCCCTCCGTTGCTGGACTGTACATCGGAAGCTCTACTCTACATGCTACTTCAGTTAATAAAACTAAATTGTGTGACGAGAATGATGACGACCTTCAAGAGGATGACGATGACCACGACGAGAATGAGACCTGAGCTAGGACGATGAAGATGATGAAGATGGTGGCGTGCCCTTAGGCGACACTTGATGCTTGTCTTCCACGAGGTGGCCATAATAATGCCGTGGCGCCTCAGCTTACTGTCATGGGAGCCAGCCACGCGGCATAATGCACTTCGACACTGCCGGACTCTGAGAGAAATCCGTTTAATTAAGTTTCCAGTTTTTCGTTGCAATTGCGGACGGAGGTACGTCGGAGAAGTTTTCTTTTTGCTTTTGTTTGTTCATGGAAGTTTGATTTGTTGCTAATTTGATTTCTATTCATTTGAAAACCAAAACACTATATGAACAGCCAGCCGCAGAGTAGAGCAGCCACAAACTTGACTTACAGGGCGAACAACAACTTCCAGCAGAATGATGATGTTAGCCACAACAGAACGAGCAAACTCCAAAGCCATAGCAAACTGGTAAAACCAAAAACAGATTGCGCCCAAAGTGTTTGCGAGTGTGCCATTTGGCCGGGGGGCAAATAGGCAACACTTTCAGTAGGAATTTACTCCCACATATGTACATTCAACGACGAGTATGAGTATGTGGTTTATTATGTGCTATTCTCGCATCAAAAGGCACTCCCACGGGAGATGGCAGTGAAGTGGGAGTGTGCTGCTGGAGGCGGCCAAATAGAAAAGTAAAGTCAGCATATAACCTTCCAAGGGGGAGGTGTCTGGAGCAGAGACCAAGTCCTTTTAAATCATATTTAATTTTTGAGTATTTTGCATGACCAAAGCGAACAATTTAACACTCAATCAGACAGGAAAAAAATACTGCTAAATTTTCTGTCTACATATTTTTGTATTAAGTTTCAGTTGTTCATTGGCCCAGTTCCAGTCTCCGCTGACACAGAAGCAGCAGGCAACCTCAACATCATTCGGCCAACTATGGCGTGAATTTTGGCCATGTCAACGCTGAATTCGTTGAAAGGCCCCAAAGAAACCCGTAACAAGAACGGGGCCTGGGGGAAATTTACCAAATGCAAAACGCATTATAACTGTATTTATGCGTGCCAGAGTGTGCGTGTGTGCTCATAGTTGTTAGAGCTTGTCGGTCAAATGCGCGCACACAATGCTCATTCATACGCCCTGTGTGCTGATGCTGAGCAACGATGCTGCCCTGCCCTGCCCTTACCATGGACGTCCCTGCCTGATGGCTGTCATAAAAATTCCAATTTAGTTTCCAATTGCTTGACTTAAAGTCCTCTTCCAGTCACTCCAGTAACTTTGTGAGTGTGTGTGTGCGCATGGCTCTCTCTGTGCGTGCGTGTGTGTGTGTGTGTGGCAGTTCATAATAAACTTAACGACGCACAATTATGCCACAAGTCGGTGAGTACTGGGGAGAGCGGCGGCAGGCTTCAGTCCATACAAATGCAAAGCACAGCAATATCCAAGACGTTACTCATACGCCCCTGCTGAGCTCACAGCCCCAAATTTTACATTTACAAGCTTCTTGTAATTCAAAACGACAGACACGTACTTTGGGACAACGGCCTGGCCTGTTAAAGCTCCGCGCCAATGGTATTATTAAGGCTCCAACACAAACATACACAAACGAAATCAATAGTAAGTGTGGGATGGAAGGGAAAGTGGAAGTGGAAATGGAACTTGTAGAGCGGAAGTCAAAGAGTGTTTCAGAGGCATCACCATTCATTAGGACATTAGTTTCGAGTGCATCGAGCACACACCCATTGATTTTGGATAGATATACGCTTTCTGCTCTCTCGTCCGTTTGTGGCCAAGCCACTCCACAAAAGGACATCATCTAATGCACACAATTTAATTAAGAACCAGTCATATATACATATATTTTACCATTTGGTTTAGTTTGCCACAACTTTATGTGATTTTCTTGGATTTTCAATGGAAAAATCACAGCAGATTAAAATAAACTTTTCAGAGGATAAAGAAAACAAATCGTACTAGACGGATGAATAAAACAGATGAAAAGAAAAATTATCACACAGAAGCTAACAGTATATAAATAACATTATGTTAATGATGAAAGTATAAAAGTGGGAAAAAATATTTCCCTACCGTAAAAAATGTAACTGTAATTATAAAAGAAAAATAATGATTATTTTTCGAAGAATAAAATAATGTTGTTTTCATATTTTCCCATAAAAGCAAATCAATATTTTATATCTTGCAAATTTTTGCATTGGCCCCAAAACGTAAGTATCCGTTCGTATATCTATAGCTAATTAAATGGTCAGGTGGCAAACGAACATTAAGCTACTTTCAGAGCCATTAATTCAAGGTCGTCTGTTTGAGAGTGCAGTTAATGGATGTCAATTATTTGGGCAACTTCTTTAGGACACTGACCACTCCACTGCCACTGAAACTGAACGACCAGCCTCAGATTAATCGAATTTCGGAGAGAGTTGGACATGCAGAGAGGGTTCTGTCCCCTCTGGTAGCCGAAAACAAAGTAAAACAAGCCTCTTGCTGCTGCCCCCCAATGGCCATCACCAGATGTTCAGGGCGTGGCCATAGTCTATTCCTCCCCATTACCATTGCCATGGCCACTGACAAAAGACATACACGTGGACAAGCGGACACGCGGACATGCGGACACGCTCTCGCCCACAGATGAGTTTTATTTTTGTGTTTGGCATTCCCCACGCGAAACTCTTTGATGTAATGAGGGCCAATTAGAACGGGCTTACAAGTGCAGACCGCTGGACAGATAATGATGCTGATGCCTGTGCCGGTGATGGGGTCAGTGTCAGTGCCAAGGGGTTTGTGGCATCTGTTGCGGGCATATTGAATAGTTATTGTTATGGTTGCAGTTTTGTAGCCAATTGCTCGGGCATGTACTTATGTGTTTCTCCCACCATCTGTTCTATGCTATCTGTAATGTGTGTGCTGGAGCCAATTATGGTGATGCTGGCTGACGAAACACGCCCTGTTGCATGTTTTCCTGGGTAAGAAAAAAATCTGAGAGCGTGCAATATTCATGAAGTTGTGGTTAGGCAAACAGCCAAAGGAACAGGGAGCAGCAGAGCAGCGTAACAGTAACGCACAAATGTATGCTACGAGTGTACAACTGTATTTTAGTTTTACTTCTGTTTTCTGGCCGTGTTTGAGGCCCATAAACGCATTGCTGGCTACGGCTAGGGAAGGGGAAAAAAGCTTTAAAAATAAATTAAATGCCATATAACAAAAGGATTAGCTCGCTGTCAGCAGGCAGGGTTGGAGTGGGAGTGGGTCACAGGCAGACTCATAAACAAAGCCTGGAAACGACAAAACTTAACCCTAAGCAAAAGACAATAAAAAAAACTTAAAGGGAGAGAAACGCACACACAAAGAGAAAGTGGCACACAGACATATTTATATGTACATTCATATGTACATATACGGAATGGCCGCAATGACCCAGCTAAACATAAACAAAAACGCAAAATAGCGCAAACATGCCACAAAGGAGCAAGCAGCAAGCGGGCAGGCGGTGCAGGGGCTGGCGCTGGGGCAAGTGCTAGAAGGAAACAAGTGTAGCGCATATGAGAGATATGAACTAGAAATAAACAAATATTTTGTAACCAGCCTCTGTAAAAGATACATATGAGTATGAGTATCAGAGTGTGTGTGAGGTTGCTCCTGCTTCTCCTGTTCCTGCTCCTTCTTCTGGACCCTGTGAAATTAGTTGGCAATGATAAAGATAAGTAACGTGAAATATGCGGCCTTCGCAAGGACCATTGAATTTTGCTTTGCCCTTTGCTTTTCCGCTCCTATTCGCTGTCGCCATACTGCTGCCGACTAAAGAAAGGAAGACAGCAAACAATTTTATGACACTGATTTCTCTCTCTCTCTCTCTCTGTGTATCTCTGTATCTCTCAGTGTGTTTTCAGGACATTTGCATAGAAAGCCCATCAGCGGCAGCGTTGCTTGGATCGCATATATACATTTATATACGACCTCGCCCGCCCGGACATTTCGACACGAAGAGCACCCTAAAAGGGTTTCGCCATTGTTTATCCATTCTAAGTACGAATAAAACTATCTAACAATTTATAATTAAATTGCCGAAATGAATATCCATTGTTTGGGAAACTGTATAAATTAGATTTATATATGTACACAACATATAAATGTGCACGCCGTAACCGGAGATACTATGTATTGCACCACCGCCCCTGATTAAATCAACTGTGTGTGCACAGCGCAGATTGTACCCGCCCATCAATCATCTATTCAATTCTATTCAACCAATTGGTGACGCCAGGCCCCCCTCTATCAATTGCTTGGAATACAAATGAATAAATGTATTTTGTGGATGCACACATGAAAAACAGCAGTCCCGGGCCCATTTTAGCTCTAAATAATTGAATTGCAATCAGAATTGGAGAGGCTATTGGAAGCCTCGACCAGCAAATACCTACTAGCTCGTAGAAGCAGCCACTCAAAACTGTCACTAACTCCACTTTCTCACTCAATTTAAAGCTCATCAAATCTACACAATTCTGTACAAAGTTTTGTCCTTTGTTGTGCTTGGCACTGAATAATTTAATAATACTCGAGAATCTCAATTGGATTACGTTTTACATAAAGAATCAGAAACAGAGTCAAGCAACAGCAACAACAGAGAGTTGGGGGGGACCTGAGAGTAGAATGCAACTGCATCTTGGTCATGGGCCAGTGTCAGGCCAATGTTCAATTGCTAATTGCCCAACACTTTGGTTTGCAACAGACTGAATATATCTCTAACTGGGAAGTCCTTTCCTCTTAAAATTCATCGATTTTCCATGCTATACATAATACATACACATACACATATACACATATGTATGTATGTGCAAAGGGGTAAGTGGGAACTGGCGACTGCGGCATCAACAGATTTTCCATATTCCATTTTGGTTATTTGTCATGCACCACGACCACTGTTATCGCTCCTGTGTTGCACGTCATCATGCTGCTTGTGTGCTTAGATATGCGTAGTTGCCACGCGTCATGTTGCACATTATGATTTGTGTGTTGGTCAAATTGCCATTACAAGCCAAATCACATTCCATGTTTAGTGCGACTTATGAATGCATATTAATGTTCATATTCATGTTCATGTTGATATTCATATTCTGTGTGTGTGCGCTCTGCCGAGCATTATCACAATGGCAATGGTCAAGGTGTCTTTCCCGTATTTATTTAGCACGACACGCATAGTCCTATTACAGTCCAGTGGCGTCTCATTAGGCAACTGTTGCCGGACATTGCGAGCATAGATTATTCACGCACTCTGACCCCTCCCAACCCTGATTCCAGACGGATGTGTTAACCTCTGTGAATGCTCCGGGGTGCGGCAGGACAGCAGTGTAGAGAATCAGTTTTCTAATAATTTCATTCTACGACCAATCATAATGTAATTTCCCATATTGACATTCGAAGATTTTTGCTCTCGCAGTAGATTTTGTTTGCTCTTCTGTTTGTTCTTCTATTTGAGTTTGAATTTTGGTTTCGGTTCAGATTATGTATTTGCCCACATAGCCCCTCCCCATCCCACCGCACTGCACCCCAAAGCACTCTACGAGCTTTGCGCAAACAGACTTTTGGCTGACTTTTCAAGTTGTGCAATCGAGTGCTCACCACATGGCAATAGCACCATGCAACAAACGGGATACTTTATGAGTGAATGACAACAAATGCTTGTTCCAGTGGAAGCCAATCATTTGCATGTGAGAATTAATTCCTCTGTGCAGCTATGTTAATGCTAAAGTTCATGTCTTACAGGTCGCTTTGTTTCAAAAGAAAATATCTGAGCATCGGGTAGTTGTTAGTACTCGGGTACTCAACTATTTGTTGCACAGTGTAATCGAAGCTGCAGTTGGTGGTATGCGCATCCTGCCAAAATCAAATTTCAAAGATTTGTATATTGACTATTTGCTTGTGGTCTTACCGAGCAATTGCATATGAACTATGACCTACTGACTGTTGGGCATGCGGCATGTATAGATATGTCCGTCTTGAGTGCCACCGGGCAGGGGAACGTGATGTCTTCCCATAGTAATATTATCTTCCGTGTATTTGCCAGTCCCTGGCTTTTGGTCCAAGTGCAGCTGAAGAAGCATTAAAAACAAATGCGAAGCTCAGCTCAAAGTGAACCTCGAAGGAACTCGGCTCTGTTTCAAGCTCATGGTTCCCCTCGAATTCCTGACGTTTTTTTTTCATTAGCTGGAAGGTGGAAACGGTGGAACGGGGGACGGAGGTGGTTGACAACAGCCAGTAGGAGAGATATTCTAACAATTCCTGTACCATTCTTGGGGGCGCCACTAACAAGCATTGCGTGCCAGCAAACAAAAAGTAAAATTGCTTGAACGATGCCACATCAAAGTACAAAGGACTCTATGTTTCATGGGAGTGCAGAGGAGCGCTGCTCCAGATAGCAGCTCAAGTATTCCCAGACACTGCACACGCACACAGGCAGGATATGGTTGTATATGGAGCTCCACTTTCAGTGGAAAATTCTGCCCCCGCATTGCAGGATCTTGAGGGAAAAACATAAACCAGCAACAGCAGCAGGACTCATACCCATTCCGCCTCCACAATTGCAAAGATTGAGATGCTCCCGACAAATGTTGGCCCAGCCAGAAGGGTGCCGGAGCGGATGAACGGCTAAACGCTTTTTGGCACCTTAACAAGGAAAACAGCTGCAGTGGCAGAGTGTCGGTGGCGGCTGCAGACAAACAAAATATTGTTACATGAGAAATTGCCAGCAGATAGAAAAAAAGGCATAAAAAAAACCTTAAAAAAAGAAACCAAAAACACAAAAAACTAAACAATAAATAGCAAAGTTTATTCTGGGCTTTTTTGTCGGTGTGGTTCGGTGGTTGGGCAAAATATGTTTGGAACGAGCAAAAAGCTCGTAAAAAAACTAGCATACCGAGCTCCATTCTTTCTCTACATTATATATGTATACGTGTATATTTATTTACTGTACTTACGTATTGACTGAAAAAATAGATTCATTTCATAACTGTAAATTACATTGAATAAAATTTCTTTAAATAAATTTCTATCATAAACAAATTAATATACGTTGAGTTTTTTAGCTTTCAGTTTAAATTGTAAGCTTTTTAAACAATGTGCTGAAATTATTCTGTTAGCTCTCGTAACTATTTGATCAATCAAGGGGGGGGCCTATAGGCGTAATTCACTCCGTTCATTCACGCATTCCATTTTGGTAAATTGTTAAATATCTGTAATTGCGCGTTAAAGCGTTAATGAAGCGCTGGTAATCGAGTGAAGTAGAGGCCACGACAACGGCAACGACAACCCGACCCACATTCGTGACCCCAACCGCGCAACTGACCGCCGCGCTATCCGCAACTATCCACACCAGAAACCATGATTGATAACATCTCCAGGACACACACTTTCAGGCGCACGTGCGGGTCGGTCGTCGCGGACATTCGTGGGAAAAAGTGCCACAAAAATCGTTGTGTCCTTTTGTTGTTGTTGTTGTTGCTGTTGTTGTTGGTTGTTGGTTGGCCCCTGCTCGATGGCAGACGCGTCGGCCAACGGCCGATGACCGGTGTCCGGTAGCTGATGTCATGTCTGACGGGCCCCCGCTTGTTGGTAGTCGGTCGGTCGGTCGATTGTTGGCCTTATCGCGGCACTTAAAATTGCACTGCCATGTGTCAGGCCAGAGCAAACCAAACCCTGACCAGGCCGACACGTGTTACTGCCTGGTCATATCAGGATCCCAGCGACTGCCGGTTTTCGGTTTTGCATTCTGGCACCCTTTTGGCAGGGGTTGTACGATTATTGTCCAATGTTGTGCCTGCTCTTGGCAGATATTCATATTTTATATCGCCATACTCGTAGCCACGGAGCCTCGTAGCCATAGCTTCGTTCAACCACAACCAACAGCTCAGCGAAAATCGCAGTGGCGTGGCTGTCGTTCAAGCTTAAGCGCTTGCACATCGACCAGAGGGAAACAACACACAAATTTCATGCAATTTGCACTTTCAAGTGGCGTGAAAATGCTCCCACCCCCATCATCCTCCCCATCACAACCATAAAACAAAAACCGTTGAGACGATTGCGGACTGGCGGAGAGTAGGGACGGATAAGTACGTACACTGAAGAAAACCATTGAGAAAGCAAACAAAGGCTCCAGAAATATGATTCGGAAAAACGTTAAATGGAACCTAGGGCCTTTTTTTGTAACCAGTTTTCAGAGTTTCAGAGTATGAAATTAAAGAGCTCTCTTATTGGAAAGTCAATGTATTAGTATCCCTTAAATCGCCCTGTGTTGGGGCAGGGGATAGTTGAGTCAAGTTCACTGGAAATATCAGCTTGGACTGTTGCCTAAAAAAAAAAAAAAAACAGGGGGGGAAAAAAAAAAAAAAAAATTGGCGGGGGGGGGGAAGGAGGAAAAAAATAAAACATCACTAATAAACATATTCGGTAGCGCTTATAAGTGCATTCCGAAAGAGAACTCCGAAAGTGGATCGTAAGCGCAAGCTTTACGCCGAGCTTACGAAAGAGAGTCGCTGCAGTGTTAGCACGTGCAAGCGAGAGCGTGTGCTTATCTTAAAAAAGAGGTTAGGTAGCGTGAGCATAGAAGTTGCCCTTGACGTTTGACCGAAATTCCACTCAATTCAGCGAAAGATCATACGATTGTCCCGTTAAAGCTCGCAAACATCATCCGATCTATGAGCTTTATGTTCTGCACAGCCTAATTTAACTTGGATGAGTTTCGCTTGAGTTAATAGCAAAGAGTCGATCGAAGAAAAGCGAAGTGATTGTGTCAAGCGGCATATATATATATATATATATATATATACGTAACCTACATACATATATCTTACGCAATCCCTCGCGGTGAAATTTTAATGCAAAAGCCGTGTATTCTGAGAAATCTCTGTGGATCGGTGCTAGTACCAAGCGTGAATAATAATTAACCAAGGTATGTGGACCGTAGGCTACAACAAGTGATCGGTTTAATTTATGTGAATTAAGTTTATAGGACAGAGGTCAGGAGCCAGTTTCATCGTTGCAGCCTGAGTGCGTATAAGCACATAGACGGGGTGCTCCACGAGAGGAGTATCACCGAAGTGATCCTCCAACCTAAAAGGGGTACCCTTCGACCCCCCTCTACTGACGGAAACGCTGAGCACCGAAAACCTCTGACTTGGGTCAACCATATTGAGGCGTCGCAACCCTTAGGAAGCCCAGTGCAGAAGGGAGCGCCTCGGAACTTTAATCAACTCCAGTGAGAAGACCAGTTTGTCGCGCACGGTAGTGCCAATGTAAGCTGCAGCTTGACCTGCAGTCGGATGTTCCCCGCTTAAGCCCAGTGTGAAGAAGACCAGAACACTGGGCGTGATTTTGACGGACATGCCTACAGAGTAGCCGCCGCCGACGCTACCGAAAGATGTCCGGAGTTGCTCAGTGTTAACTTACACATTTTCGGGATTTGAGTTAATATGCCATTTTAAGGCCAATTCTCTGGGAGATATATAGATATGTATATTTTTTTTTGGAGCATCAAGAATTATGAGTGTTGGTAGAAAAGAGTGGGTATGAGACCTTAAAATAATTAAAACAAATTACTAAATCGTACTTGCATGTACGCTCGTGTGTATATATTGTTAATACCTTCTATTTTTCCCCAGAAAACAGCACCTACGTCATCCATGAGCTCATCGATTACGAAAGGAGTAAGGGTTTTAAATTATCAAATCCAATCAAAAACTGTGAGTTCGTAAACTTGACACTATATATGCACTGAGTATAAATGTAACCTGCGTGTTACTAAATTATTTGATTTAAACCTTTATAATCATTACCATAATGGGTTAACACCTCTCGCCCCCCTTTATTCTATTACCCGCCTATGATTCTTAGTCTCTTTACATACTACGGCCCACACATTCATATATATATATAAGGTCGTACCATCTTGAATTCCAAAGTTGGTATAAATTAAATTAAGTAAATATTTTAAGTGGGCTAGACTGCCAGAAAAATGAATTCATCCGTAGATTAAGAAAATTTGGAAGATATTGAATATTAATAATAGGAAACCATGAAAATATATCTGAAAGTCTTTGTTTTGAAACCCATATATAATATGTTCTAAATTCTAATGTCAGTCCTTAGCCAAGCAAGGTCGAAGTGGTAGGATGAAAACTGCCTGATTGTTTTAGGGTCTATACGGTATGATTTACCTGTATGACATAGGCTGGGTGGGTAAAGAAGAGGGATTCTCGAACGACACCTGAGTTTCCCGTGCTTTGAATAGAGTAGTTGAGATCACCATTCCTTTTTTTTTTTTAACAACAAAACTTTGATCCATTTTCCCTACCTTCAGTCCAGTTTAACCTGTGTTCTGCTTTTGATTTTTGATTCTTTTTAAATGTGCACCTAAAATATTATGCGAGTGTGTGTCAGTACTTAACATAGGAGAGAGTAGAACGAACCCCGACAATCCGGCGAGCTTAGCTAGAGCATAGCTAGAGGTGCACACGAAATCTCCTGGTACTAGTTTGGGTAAAAATACATCTATCCCACACCTGCACGCTACATAATTGGCGCCCAACGTGGGGCCCGACAGGGCATGTTTCTCAAATGGTACATAACATCGGTATCAGAGGCATGTCATTCTGGGGCGAGGCTCCACCATAGCTCTAAAGTTCCATCCAAAACAATAGTATTATCTTCTCACGAAACAGATAGATCTCTCTAGGTGGGAGTACTACAGTCTTGACATACGGATTATGCGGTTTAATTTCCAAGGTTGGAAAGGTCGACCTATGTATAACTTAGTGTCTCTTAGTCAGGGTAGACTAGCGTAGATAGATAATAACCAAAGAAGCACTTCATGATACGGGACTCCACCAACGAAATCATTCAAGATGTTAATTTAGAGAATTGCGGTAGTTATTCTTAAAGAGGGATACTCCGACTCAATTATATTCTTGGGGGTTATCTTGATATTGGCTGTTGAGACTCCTGTATCCAAAAACTAGTTCTCGGCAGGGAAACGTCTCAGATTTTCGGAATTACAATGTTCTATTTATAATAGGTAGAGGTTGTCCATTATCCACACGTACACTCCCGGAAGCTTACAATAGAAACAGATAGACTAACCAACTACTCAACTATTCAAATCGAAATCGGCAGTTTTAAGAGTGGACCACCCAGATCTTGCTTGGAGAGGACGAGCATATTGTTATTTTTTTTTTGGAATTAATAGAAAAGTTCTTTATTAGTTAGTTCTTATTTGGTTTTCTGATTATATATTTTGTTGTTACCATGGCTGTACACCGTAGTAACGAAAACTTAGCTTCGGCGTTGAGTAGCCAAGAAACATTTTGCATAATTTGTCAGGGAAGTTTAAGACAAGATCAGCTAATAGCTACAACGCCTTGTCAACATCGCTTCCATAACACGTGCGTATGGGAACACTTGAAAAGTGAAAAATCTTGTCCTGTCTGCAAGGCGGAATGCGGTCCGAATAGTCTGCGATACGAGAATAACACTCTAGCAGCGGAATTAAACATAAGTGCAGGGTCCCTACCGTCCAACGCTCAGGCTAATGAACCCTTCGAAACGGCACCATCAGATCCAACGGTATCGCATAGGAAAGGGAAATATAACAGTAGAGGTCGAGGGAAAGGAGCCATTCCAAAAAGGGGAATGCAAACAAGGTACCAAGCTAGCCTCGATCGTAATTTATATGGAAGTCGACAGTCTGTTAGCAGTAACGGAAATAGGTCGCCCGGTCACGCGGCAACCGAAGATCTTACCAGTTACATCCATTCGGTAATACAAAGTAAGGAGAAAACTATGATTGAAAACCTCAGTTCTTTCATTAAATCGTCGATTGAGCAAACCTTACAAACCCAGTTTGCCAACCTAAATTTAACCACGAATACCGCCACGGTAAACAGAGGTCCATCAGAGTCGCGGAGTAATGTTAGGCGGGAGGTAGATAACGGCAGTAATATGAGAAGTAGCGATTCTCCATTAGAAAGTCCGAGAAGCAATCGTACAACCGAGACGGTAGCACCGGCAAAGGCCGCTAATATTCTACTCAGTTGGCGTCTTAAATTTGATGGTTCTCGGAGGCAATGCATGTAGAAGAATTTCTATATCGCATTCGTGCTCTGACGGCACAGACTCTTGGAAACAATGACCAACTACTTTGCGATAATTTACATCTGCTTTTCGCGGGAAAAGCCTGTGATTGGTTTTGGGATTTCCATCGAAGAAACCACCAATACTCCTGGCAATCGTTCTGCACAGCGTTCAGACAAAGATTCGACGACCAGAAAGATGATTTTGACCTATGGGAAATGATCAGAAAACGGCAGCAGAAGGAAAATGAACCCTTCGAAGATTTTCAGACAGAGATTGAAAAGTTAGTGGCTCGACTTTCACACGGGATAAGTGAACTCAAAATGATCGATATTCTTAAAAGAAATGCCAAAAGTGCTCTTCGATACGAGCTTCTGCATTTAAAAATTCAGAACCGAAGTGAGTTGAGGGAGGAAGTGAAGAAGCATGAACATTTCTGTAAAGATGCAGGAAACTTTCTGCCGCGAAGCCGAGTAACTAGACCCAATGTGTCGGAAATTCGGAGCGATGACGAAGAACTCGAAGAGGATAGTATCTCCGAGCTACGTCGCAAACGGTTTGTCTGTTGGAATTGTGACAAGACCGGTCATAGGTTTGAAGACTGCGTTGCGGAACGCCGCATCTTCTGTTATGGTTGCGGGGCGAAAAATACTTTTAAGCCAAAGTGCGAGAAATGTAATCCATCGGAAAACCGCAAAAAGGATGCGCAAACCAGCACCAGTTTGTCGCATCCGACAACGAAGACCGATTAAAAGAAGTGGTTTTCCAAGAAAACTCTTCCAACCCGAATTTCAGAAGAGCTCTCTCGGAGAGGTCCTTGGCGGACGCCCAAACTCAGACGGAGGAGATAGATATAGAATGTAGCAGTATACACTCGCATAAGCTAGAGTTTAAGTATCAACCTAAAAGATCGACCATTAGATTAAGACAATTCTGGGCTTCTGTAAAAAGTGTTCGAAAGAGACTTGTCTCCTCGATCCTTATGAGCTCCGATAGCAGGTTATTTGTAGAACTAAGTATAGATACACAAAAATTCATGGCATTGTTAGATTCAGGGGCTACAATAAGTTGCCTTGGAAATGAAGCTGCTAAGTCTTTCGCAGACCACGCCAAAGCAAAAAAATGTTCCGGAAATATTCGAACGGCCAATAATGAATCTTGTAGAGTCATAGCAAAAATCACCATTCCCATAACCTTCCGCGGTCAAACTAAAGACATTGAATTCTTTATAATACCTGCGTTGAAACAAAATGTTTACTTAGGTATAGATTTCTGGAAAGAATTTGGTCTTTTGACGAGTTTGTTAAGCGACCGATCGGTAGTACAGGAACTAGACGTAGGAAGTGAAGCCAAGGTATCGGAATCGCCACCGTTACATCATCTAAGCGAAGACCAAAAGGTTAGGTTAGAGTCCGTGATCAATTCCTTTCCATCGTTCGAAAAGGAAGGATTAGGTCGCACCAGCGCTATTCAACATACGATTGAAATGATACCCGACCGACCGGTTAAACAGCGCCATTGGCCTATATCACCTGCAAAGGAAAGGTTAATGTTTGAGGAAGTGGAGAAAATGCTGGCCCTAGATGTTATAGAGGAATCAAACAGTCCTTGGAGTAGCAATTGCGTTTTAGTTAAGAAAGGAACGAAAAATCGACTATGTTTGGACTCACGAGAAATTAATAAAAACACCCGCAAAGATGCCTACCCTTTACCACATATTGATGGCATTCTTAGTCGACTACCGCCAGCCAAATATATTACGGGACTTGACATGAAACATGCATACTGGCAAATTCCATTAGAGGAAAAATCCCGACATTATACAGCCTTTACTATCCCCAATAGACCACTTTACCAGTATAAGGTAATGCCGTTTGGATTAACCAACGCCGCTCAGACCTTATGCCGACTTATGGACCAGGTGATACCTGCCCATCTACGGAATCGGGTATTCGTCTATTTGGACGATTTACTTGTGCTCTCCGATGACTTCGATTCGCACATGTTGCTGTTGCTTGAGGTAGCGATGCATTTGCGTAAGGCAAACCTTACAATCAATATAGCCAAGTCAAACTTTTGTATACGGGAGATAAAATACTTGGGGTTCATAATTGGTTACGGTCAGTTAAAAACGGACCCGGGTAAAATTAGATCTATAATTGAGTTCCCCATTCCTAAAACTGTAAAACAGCTACGAAGATTCCTTGGGATGGCAGGATGGTACCGACGCTTTGTCGATAACTATGCCACCGTCAGCTTTCCGTTAACCGAACTACTGAAAAAGAATCATACGCTTAACTGGAACGCTTCAGCGGAAGTTGCTTTCAATAAACTTAAGTCCTGTTTGACATCTGCTCCAATCTTAGCCACTCCTGATTTTGAGAAACCATTTTTATTAGTATGTGATGCAAGCACCTTTGGTCTAGGCTGCGTATTAGCCCAATTAAATGAGGAAGGGATAGAGTTACCTATAGCGTTTATGTCCGAAAAACTTTCTAAGGCACAACGAAACTACTCTGTTACCGAACTCGAGTGCTTGGCTGTGATTAAAGGAATAAAAAAGTTTAGAGCCTATGTCGAAGGACAGGAGTTTCAAGTCATAACTGACCACGCATCGCTTCAATGGCTTATGAGGCAAAAAGATTTGTCAGGTCGCTTGGCTCGATGGGCTATAAAATTACAGGGATTTAATTTCCAAATTTCACATCGGAAAGGGTCCGAAAACGTAGTAGCGGACGCATTGTCACGTCAAGATGAACCAGAGGTTAAAGAACTAAATGCTAATGGACCCATAGTAGACCTCACTTCTATTGAGTTTAAGTCAAAACAGTACATGGATCTAATGGAAAATGTAAGGTTAAACCGACTTAAGTTGCCCGACTTGAAAATCGAAGATGATTTGGTATATAAAAGAACCGAACCCTGTTCGGGTGACGCTTTAGCAGATACGCAATCGTGGAAGCTTTGGGTTCCGTCTGGCCTTACCAACGATATTATTTCCCGTGCTCATGACCCTCCAAACGCTTCACACAGCGGTATTGGTAAGACAATCGAAAAACTGAAAAGGTATCTATTTTGGCCAAAGATGGTAACACAAATACGAGCATATGTGTCAAAAT